GGACTCCGGCATTTTAAAATAGGATATCAAAAAAAAAAAAAAAAAATAGGATATCATGTTTGGGGAGTTCTTCGAAAAATATCTTTGTGAAAGGTTGTTTTTTCCCCCGAGAAAACAGGAGGGGTAGGGGCATTTTAACATACTTTTATAGTCCTAGATGCCAAGGCTTTGCTCAAGGGTCCCTTGAAAATGGTTGGTTTCTGAAAACTTGATGGATGGCCAGAAAGCACCCCAATCCTCATTATGGTTTGTTGACGTCAAACTCACTACCTGCCCCTCCCTGCCTACAGCTTGGAAGTTTTCAGGAGTAAATGATATGCTCAGTGTCAGCGTGTGTTCAGTCCTTAGTCCAAAAGGTGCTGGAATGCTTACTTCTGATAGAAATAAACTACTGAGTCCTATCAGAGACCAACATTCTTTTGACTGTCTAGTATAATATAATAAAGACTGGGGTGCTGTTGATTAATATTGTGTTGGCATGTTTAGGGATTAGTGTTTTCTCTCAGAGTGTGATAGCAGTAGGGATGATTTTTTTAAATCTTTAACTTAGAAAATCAAGAAGTTTGGAAGCAGATGAAGTCATACAGAATTTTGTATCAATGTACTGTGAACAGTGCATCTGAAGAAGGGAGGTTTGGGAGTTAGGAGTGACAGCCAAATAATATGATGCTTTTTTATATAAAAAAAGTCAATGTGCACTTTAAATGTATTGTGGCCGTCTCATTAAAAAGATCTGTCATCTTTCTGCTCCAGGCACAGTCATATCTTATTGTCAGGGAAATGTAGGTATGTGAAAGTTTGGTGTTTAAAGAAGTTGCTGTTTTATTACCAGGAGAAGAATCCAGAATAAGAAGTTTGGAAAGAACCTAAATAGCAAATTATAGTTTAGCCTCTCTAGAGGGAAATAGCAAGTAAACGGTACTTTTGCGGAGGGGTGGGGCGTGGGTTTGAAGTTTAAAAGGTTATATGTTTGATTTGTCAGAAGGATTAGAAAAGTCCAACGTTAAGAAATATGCTAAGGTTGACTGGAAGAACATTAAAAACATGCTAAGTGAAAGAAGTCAGTCACAAAAGACCACGTATTGTATGATTCCATTTATATGAAGTCCAGAATAAGCAAATCCATAGAGACAGAAAGTAGATTAGTGGTTGCATAGGGCTGGGGGAGGAGGGGGTGGGGAGTGGCTGCTAATGGATGCAGGGTTTCTTTTTGGGGTGATGAAAATATTCTAAAATTAGTTTGTGGCGATGGTTGCACAACCTTCTGAAAATACTAAAAATCATTGAATTGTACACTTTAAATGAGTGATTTTTATGCTATGTGAATTATATCCCAAATGTAATATGGGGTTTTTTTTAAAAGAAATATGCTAAGGTTGAAAAGAATGCGTTGTGTTACTTTGAACATAGAATCTAGATTAAAATTATTAAGTAAATTTGTCCAGCAGGTTGATGTCTCTCTTTTTTAAATTTATAGAGTTTTTCAGATCCATGAACTACAAACTGATCGCTGAAGCTCTAACAGCAGAGACTCAGTGCCATAGGAGAAAAAGACAGGAAAAAAGAATCTTGGTTAGACATAGCTCACATTAAGGATTAAGGGGTTGGGTTAAAAAAACGCAAGTGCTAGTAGTGAAAGTCTGATTTGTGACAGTAAAATCCTTAACTGAATCTGAAACGATGTTGGTCTTTCCAAGATGAGAGTTTAGGAGCCGAGTCTGGATGGCATTTTCTATTCCAGTTTTCTTACATATGTTTTCGAACAAGAAAGAATGTAATGTTTAAGATGATAAAGAATTTCCACTGTCTTTTTTTGATATCCCATATTAACCAACCTGGTAGTAAAAACTGAGGAAGAACTGTTCATTTTAATGCAGTGGGCTTTCTTTTTCTTCTTTGTTGCTTGTTTTATTTCTTAAATAGCTCCAGAATCTGAGCAGGAAAGAGAAACTGTAGGATACAGCAGCTTTTTCAGGTATACAGTGATTATTTTATTTTTTAATTAAAATTTCTTATTGAACAAAAGATTTAAAAACATAGCAAAGGCATTTTTGTTTTCAAACTGTTCTGTCTTTATCCAGATTTACCTTGGCCTTTTAATAGGAAAAGACCGTAAATTCAATTGTTGTTTATATTTGTTTTTGGTCTTCATCTGAGGCTCAGTTTACTAATAAAAATGTTTCCCATTCTTCTTATTGTTGCAAGATCAGGGCAGTAATGAATATCAACTGTATCGTTTTCACTTGTTGCCTTAGAGTTTTGCCAAGAAGAGCCCTCCAGGGACAGTAGCTTCCTTTTAAATCTGGTTTCATTTGTTTTGTAAGAATGAGCTGTAAGAAGCAACTGAATCCAGCCAGCACTTATTGAGCACCTGCTGTATGGAAGCTGGATCCTTTGTTAAGTGATGCCCGAGCCTGCACAGAAAGAGAACTTCACTTTTGTCCTTGGGGCATTTTTGTATAATCGTGCATGAAACAAAGTTTCTGGAAAATTCAGATCTTTTTCAGACTCAGCACAGGGTACACAGTTCTCAAATAACATTTTAAAGGCCCTTTAAAAACATTTCTGTAGACTTAAGACAGGAAGCAAATCACTGTTGTTGATATTCTGAAGGCCTGTGCAGCACCACTTGCCTTATTAATACCTTCCCTCCTATTGCATTGTTGCTGGCAGGCTGTGACATCCATGAGACAGTCACCCATCTCGATCAGCTGCACTGCCTTCTTTATAACATTGGTTATGACAATTGTGATTAAAAATGGACAGTGTCGTAGTTACCATTTGCCAAAACTTTAGTAGGAGTTACAGGTGTGTACATGAATGTTTCACAGCACGTTTTGAGTTGTAAGGAAGATGGGACTTACTTGGTTTACATTTTTTGGATTTACACATTGCTTAGTTAGCTTTCTGGAAATCTTTAGA